AATTTCAAGGATTCAAACGGGTCCTTATTGTTACAATCATGTATACAATTATTGTTATGTTTGTCCTGAAAAAGGATGCAAATCTAGTTCTGACCTTAGTAATGGAATATATGGGACCAAATTTATATAAAACAGATCAACATTAATGACACCAAATAGGTATAATACTAAAATATATTCCATGAACAATTCAATGACACTTACTTGGTATCATAAATATTGATAAATTTTCCATAGTTTTAATCAAACTCAAATTTGACTCGGCAATATGTTAGAATTGCATTCTTTTTAGACCAAGGATGTATAAACTAAGAATTACAGTATTCTTCATCTTGGCAAGCCCAACAATTTCTAGAGAGATTTTTTTAATCCCTCCACTTAATTTTCTGAACAGTTCTATTAATTATATTCTCTCAATAACTTTTAGTGCTGTTCTATGTTCTCTTATAATAAAGCAAGGAGGAAAAAGGCAATGTCAATAATGTCGTCCAGGAAGGTTGAAAAAAAACTTTATTCCACTCGTTGTGAAGAAACTATATTAACAATTAAGCAACAATATAATGCGTTAGGGGAGCTTCCAGCATATGGTGTCTCAGTGTGTTCAGAAAACGATATGTCTTTGTGACATGCACAACACGGCAGAAAACGCATCTATATGGAGGCTATGCTACAGTGCTAAGCATGCATGCTTTGTCATTTCCGGGCCGGGCAGACACTTAACTTTGCAGAATAGTCAAAAAGCTTGGGGGCTGTGTGCCCATGCGAATAGTCAAATCAAATAGATTTAACTAGGCAGATGCGCGTGACATGCGAATATTTCTGCAGTTCTTACACATTTTTTGTGCACACATGTGTAATATTCAGCCTTATCTAATATTCTTGATTCATGTAAAAATATAATACTCCCTCTGTTCTAAATTATAAGTCACTTTGTAAAAGTTAAAGTGACTTATAATTTAGAGCGGATAGGGTATAATATATGCTTGTTGTGGCATTTAATCCATAGTCTACCACACTTCGCCGCAAATAAATCAATAAAGTTTGCCATGGAAAGCTACCATATGATTAGCCACTTTACAACAACAATGAATTGCTATATTTTAGTAGTTTTTCTTCTAAAAAGCTTGATGAACATAGGTTTATTTTTCTTGCTCGCATTTACCTATGTTAGATCAGTATACTTCTCTTTCTACATTTTTACCATGATTATTCAGGAAGATACTTACAGGGGAAGCTAAATATGCACTAATTAGCTTAGTCAATTAGGTTCATCTTTCAGCTTATAAGTAACGATGATGCATATACGGAGTAAAGAACGGCGGTTCCAAAGTTCAATACATTTAACCTCCTTGCATTGAGAACCCAAAGGGCACTTGGGCCTTCAATACTCGGCCAGACAAGAAAGGCACTTGGGCCTTCTACTCAGCAATTCAACCATTCGACCCAGACCTGGTCTAAGGTCGGGGCTAGGCTAACCTATTTGTATGTATATAATTCATATATACCCACTAAAAGTTATTAACTTTGTTAAAGAAAACTAAAAAGTTAACTTCTATTTCTCTGCAACCATCTACGTCATGTTTTTTTTTCACCATCCCATGGAAAGGTTCCAAACACATTTGTTCGTTCAAATGGTAGGTAGTCCACACCATCGTCCAATACAGATGACACCTGCACAGCTTTACTTCTGCAGCATAATTACATTTCTCCACTAGGCCAGGCTTAGTGGGAGGTTTCATGTCTCAGTTTTCAAGAGTGTCACATCAGCTTTTTAGATGAACGAAATGTTAGGAATTTAGGCATTTTTCATGTTTAATTTACTCAAGAAAAACCATGGAATACGCTCCCCATTGGTGGCATGCCACCCAACGAGTTCCTTCGGCTAAAGAATCCTGCTCTTCACCATCCCATTGAGGCAATACTATGTCACCAAGAACTCCACCCAATGTTCCATGGGATCGATCAACTTTCTCCTCCAAGGCATGGTCCAACCTAGAGAATAACAACATTTTTATCCCTCATAGGCATCCTACTGCAAACATGGAAGTAGAGTTTCAGACCTAGCTTGGGGGAGAAGTGTGGGTGGATAGAAGCAAGGCACAGCGAGGTCATGAGCAAGAGCAACTAGGCAGGGATTGATTTAGTGGGCAGAGCACATAAGGAAGACAAAGGTTTCCAGGTTTAGGGAAAATGGCATGGCGTTCACCCTGTTCGCTGATGTTGAAATTTAGCTTATGCTGATGCTTATGCTGAAATGTTGTAAGAGAAAAACACCGTTCCATAGCTAAAAAGTAGTTTTGAATAAGCTCATGCGAACAGAGCCGTTGTCCCTCCACTCCCCTTATAATTTGTACAATGGAAATGAGCCACAACAGTTGACATTCCAGGCCACAAAGCCTAGTGTTCAAACAACCAGCCCACATATGGGTTCCACGACCAGGCCAATAACAATACAGTGAAGGACGTGTTGTAGCATGCCGCCAGCTGGCTGATAGCTGAGTTAGTCAGAGAACTCAGATGCTATAGTGTGCGAGTTTAGTTCCGACTTGGGTTCCTCAGTTTCAGCTCTCGAGTTAAGATGGAGTTTGCCATGAGATTTGTTGGCTCAGGAATCAGGGTTTTTTGCTAGAAGATGGCTAAATAATTGCCATGAGATCGACGGGATACAACAAGCAAGCTTAAAGCACAAAACACATCAGAAGTATGAGGCCGTGCCGTCTAGGCGGCCTCCCAATATGTCCACGTATCCTTTATTTTCATAGCCGTTGGATGAGGGTAGATGAATCCCGTATTATGGTTTTGTCCTCGTGGCTTCCTGAGCCTCCCATTCAATTTTCTGCAGAACCTCTTGAATCATGCATGCATGGGAAGCCTTAAATGCGATGAGTGCATGCAGCCAGGTGCTTGATGAATGTGGCGATGACTTATGCATGCACGCATGCAGCTGAAATGCTGAGACGTGATAAATGATACGATGAATTGATGGTGCTTGCATGGAGTAGTATGGCCCCGTTCGGCTTGTTGAATTTTGGCCACATATCCTTTATTTTCATAGCCGTTGGAGGAGGGTAGATGAAAAGCTGGCTTCCTGAGCCTCCCACAATTTTCGTAGAACCTCTTGAATTGTTGTGAGAGGAAAACATTATTTCAGCTAAAAAAAAGCCAAACAAATTGAATATGAGGTAAGCCGAACAAAGCCATACGTGTGTTGGATGCATGTGTGCAACTGAAAAGCCTAGAGGTCGTGGTGCATTAATGCAGGGCCACCAAAGGTCACTTCTCCACGCAACATTCATTTACTATGTGTACAGTCATTGCTATCCACGGAGCCACTGTAGGTCCAGTTAATGTGATGAGATACACATAGACGTCTCATTGTTTAGCACGTGCGAGCTTGTTCTTTGCTCTGAGCTTCATCTCCTTATTCCCTCCACCCTAAAGCTTGATTAGTCCACTGACTGATACATACACCGGCGTGAGCCACGACAGGTGCCTGCCTCCGCCTTGGCCCTCACTTGATGTGCCAGCACTTAACAAAGTTGTGTCTTTGTTGATCCATGGTTATTCACTTTTTATCTATTGGCCTTTTTACCTGTGCTGAACCATACGATGTGATGTATCCTGATGTGGTGAAATCTCGTAATTAAAGCTCTTTGTCCTATCCGTACTCTTACTCTGTCCTTCGCATTTAGCTCATGTATGGATGTTCAGGGTTACATGTTTTCATGGTGCATATGCGTCCCTATTTATAGCCTCCTAGGCCACCTTTCATCACCACCTCGGCCAGCCACATCGTCATTGCACATACACCAGCGCTAGGCTATTCTCTGCATATTGAGAGACTACAATTATATGGTTGTGAAGGCCCTTGTTGCCTAGCGTTTGGTCACTAACATATCATGGTGCGCAATTGATTATTTGCATGTGCAAATGATATATCTTTAGATGATTGGAATTTTATTAGAACAACTAACTAAGTTATTTTCCTTTTGAGTATATTTTTTAAATCATTTTTTGACCTTCCACATGTGCGATACAAAGTAAATTTTAAGAAAAATATTTTTTCTTTAAAGATAGCCTTTCAAAAAGAGGCTAGAAATAATGTTAAAATTTATATTTCTTTGTACCTGTGCTGTGGGCTTATGTGCAGGTATAGGCATGGACTCTGGAAAGTGCGCCTTCTACTAGCAGAAATTTGAAAAAAGAGGCGTGGCGTGGCTAAGAGAGCAGGCCCTTGCCTAACCTCAGGTGCCCTTGCCTAACCTCATGTGATTTTTTTTTGGATCGGTTGTCTACCCTCATGTGATTTTTATGTTCTGGATCAAAATGATTTTCTCATAAGGTACTAAAGACCCGTTAAGCTTACCATTTGAAAAAACAAATCAAACAGCTTGTTCTGATAATTGTAAGATTGTTGAGTTATACTCAAACGTTATATATGTTTCATAAGGTACTAATAAAATTTAGTATAGTTTTCGACAGAGTCAAGTCTAGAGCTGAACCTTTATAGCATACCATTGATGGTTAGACGAGCAGTGATTAACATACGTGGTCAGATAAATACTAATATAATAATGATAATATTATAAAATAATAATATGCTATTGCTATTATTGTTTATTTCCCTACTTGTGTTGACTGCCCGGCTTGGAGCCCGGCAAACGACTTGTTTCGGCCATTCCCTCGCTGGTGCCTGGTGGACCAGGAGCTCAGTACCCGAACCCGACCCAAACGCCCAGCTTGAATCCTCCTTGCCCGTGCTCGCCTTCCTCCGATCTGTATCCGTCTCCCGCCGGCCTGGCCCCAGGCTTCTAATCCTCTCAGAGTAGGCAAGGGGATCGGTCGCAGAAGCGGCATCGCCGGCGAGATTTGCCCACCGACAGCCGCAATGGCCGACATGGTCGGAGGAGGCAGCGCGCCAGGTCTGGGCCGGCGCCGTGCCGCTCCAGGTCCACCTCCACAGCGCCGGCTGCCAGCGCCCCGCATAGCGAGTCCACGACATGGTCAGAGGAGGCGGCGCGCCGAGCCTGGGGCGGCGCCATGCTGCTCCAGGTCCACCTCTGCTGCGCCGGCGTCCTCCCGCTTCCCCCGCCGCCGCCGTTCCTGGTATGCGTTCGTATGCTCCCCTCCACTCCGGAGAGGGGATCTCTCCTCAACAGCTACCTATCACCTCCTGCCCTCGCTCCGTCGGTCTGGGTTCCCTCTAATTCCTGCTGCGAACTCCATCCCAATAGACGCGACGCCGCCATCCAAATTGCGCGATGCTGCTTTGCTCCCAGTTCCTTGCCATATGTATTCAAAATTAATGGGCAGGTTCATCATCGAATTGGGTCTTTGTTGCCAGATGAGGGTAGACCTCCGGTGTACGCGCAGCTGATACTGAAAACGAAGTCCAGAATCGAATATCAATTTTCGATAGAGATAGAGAATGTGATAGTTATAGCCAAGTTGACAAAACAATTGTGGAGGGCCTGGTAAGAATGTTTGATGAGTCTAACGGGCTGGTCAAATCATTTAGGATGCCTAGAGACCTTTGGGGGCATGGGCAGTGCCGATCTTTATGTCTTAGGCTGTTGCACGATAGGTCTAGAGTCGCACCCCAGTATAGCACACCAACAGGATCAAAGATAGCTGCTTTGATAGTGGGGGATTTCTCAGAGGAGAAGAAGACGCCCGACGTAATCATTCAAGATAGAGGAGGTGGGCTTAGAAGAATTAGCAACCTACATGCCAACTATATGGCCCTACAATACCCAATTTTGTTCCCTCATGGGGAGCAGGGGTTCAAGCTAGGAATTAAATATAGCCAAGCAGGACCCTTGCCTATTAGGACTAGAGATGAGGTTACTATGCTTGAGTATTATGCTTTCTGGTTACAACAGCGTAGATGTGAGGCAACAACACTGATACGTGGCGATAGGTTATTCCAGCAATACATTGTTGATGCCTTTGCCTCCGTAGAGGAGAACAGACTCAGGTTTATAGTAAAGAACAATAAAAACTTGCGATCTGAGGTGTACAAGGGTATTGAAGATGCACTACATAAGGGTGATGTTGATGGAAATAGCATTGGCAAAAGGGTTATTTTGCCCGCTAGCTTTACAGGGAGTAAAAGATACATGGTCCAGAACTACTAGGATGCCATGGCCATCTGTCGATTCTATGGACCTCCGGGCCTGTTTATTACTTTTACATGTAATCCAAAGTGGCAAGAAATAGCTGATGCTCTTGCGTTTGTTCCAGGGCAGAGGCCTGACGCTAGACCTGACATAGTTAGCCGAATCTTCAAGCTAAAGGTGGACGGACTTGTTTCTGAGCTGAAGAAAGGGACTTACTTTGGGAAAACACGAGCAGGTACAGCCCTTTTTTGTGCCAAGGTTGCCTCTCGGCTTTGAAAAAATAATTGTTACCATGCACGTCTGGTTCTAATGATGTTATTCGTAATTTATTCCAGTCCTCTACACTGTTGAATTCCAGAAACGCGGTCTGCCCCACGTCCATATCTTGGTTTGGCTTCAAGGTAACACTAGAGACCCGCGTCCCTCTTTTATTGACTCAATCATATATGCAGAGGTACCAGATCAACAATCGGATCTTATCGGCTATAACCTTGTTGATGAATTTATGGTGCATGGTCCTGGCGAGATTAACCAAAAATGCCCATGTATGAAAAATAGCAAATGTTCTAAATTCTTTCCAAAAGACTACCAGGCAAACACACTTGTCGGTGAGGATGGGTTTGTGCGGTATAGGCGTCGTCCCGATACTAGGCATTTTGTGGAGTGGTATGGGTTAGACTTGACAATAGGTGGGTTGTTCCATACAATTTGGCACTATTAAAGCGATTCATGGCACACATAAATGTAGAGTGGTGCAATAAAACACACCTCATCAAGTACCTGCTTAAGTATATTACCAAAGGCCCAGATCGCGCTAGAGCGGTGATTGAATCATTTGGCACCCAAGTCCCTGATGGCAATTCACATGATGTTCCCATTGGTACCACCAGTGGTTCCCAGCCATTGGAGTCACTAGATGCCCAGAGGCAATCTGTAGACGTGGATGAGGTTAAAGAATACATTGGCTGCCGTTACTTATCCTCCCATGAAGCCATATGGTGTATGTTTGAATTTGATATACACTATAGGACCCCTGTAGTGGAGAGGTTAGCTGTGCATCTCCCTTGGATGAATACTGTCGTGTATCCAGCTAGGCTGCCATTGGCTGACATTGTAGATGACCCTTGTCACATGCGCACAACATTGACTGAGTGGTTTTCTGCTAACAGGATGTACCCATGCGCGCGAGAGCTAACATACGTAGAATTCCCCACGAAATGGGTTTGGAATAGGAAGGACAAGGTATGGCGTCCACGCCAGGGACCTACAAAAATCGGTAGAGCCATATACATTAACCCTAGCTGTGGTGAGCTTTATTACCTCCGTATGCTTTTGAATGTTGTCAAGGGCGCTACGTCATATGAAGATCTTAGAATGATTAGTGGTGTCCTATATCCTACATTCAAGGATGCCTGCCAGGCTATGGGCCTCCTTGGCGACGATAGTGAGTGGCGTGAGGCTCTAAGGGAAGCATCCGTGTGGGGTTCAGTCGCTTAGATGCGACAGCTTCTTGTTACTGTAATTCTTTTTTGCTCTGTTTGCGATGCAACGTCTCTGTTCCATGAGTTCTACACATATTTCACTGATGATATAGAGTATAAAATAAAGAAGCTGATGCAGTTGCCTTTCTACAAAGTTCCTGACCATCATCTAAATAATCAGGTCCTGATTGAACTTGATAACCTATTCGTCAAAAATGGTGCTTCAATGACGGACCATGGTTTACCTAAACCTGACCTTAACACTAGCAATAAGATGAAAAATAGATTACTAGCTGAGGAGCTGGCTTATGACTCTGCAAATCTCCGGCACATGCATGATACCCTTGCCAGCCAGTTGACCTCTGAACAAAGACATATATATGATGTTGTGCTGCAGTCAGTCTACGAAAATTCAGGGCATTGTTTCTTTGTGTATGGGTATGGTGGGACTGGGAAGACATTTCTCTTGAATGTGCTCATTTCACGTTTGCGCTCAAAAAAGCATATTGTCCTAGCTGTAGCATCTTCTGGTGTCGCTTCACTCTTGCTCCCTGGAGGCCATACTGCGCATTCTCGTTTTAAAATTCCTATAGTTATTGATGAGTCGTCCATGTGTGATATTAAAAGGGGATCTTTTCTTGCTGACTTAATTGTGCAGAGCTCTTTGATTATATGGGATGAGGCCCCCATGACTCACCGGCATTGTTTTGAATCCTTAGACCGTAGCATGCGTGACATCCTTGGCCAAATAGACTCTTTCAGTTTTCATAGGGTGTTTGGTGGGAAAACCGTGTTGCTGGGTGGAGATTTCCGCCAAGTGATGCATGTAGTTGAGGGTGGTACTAGATTAGATACGGTTGATGCATCCATTACTAACTCCTACCTATGGAGCCATGTTAGGATCCTGAGGCTTACAATCAATATGCCTCTGCTTGGGATGGCGAGTGCTGGGTTACCAACTGAACAAATCAAATCGTTCAATGATTGGGTGTTGAGCATTGGTGATGGAACTGCAGAAGGTACTGCCCATAATGAAGATGAAGGTTCTGACCTTATCGAGGATGACATTGTGAGATCTACTTACCCTAACCTAGAGACCTCATATTCTGACCCAGTATATCTAAGGGAACGGACTATTGTTGCTCCAAAAAATGACACCATTGATGAAATTAATACCCATGTGCTTTCCTTAATCCCAGGCCATGAAAGGATATACCTCATCTCAGATAGTTTGGTTGATTCGTCAAAGCAGCATGGTAACTTGGACCTTCTTTATCCCGTCAAGTTCCTTAATTCTCTGCAATTTAAAGGAACCCCCCCCCCCCCTAAGCTTATTCGAAAGATTGGTTCCTCCGTAATGCTTCTGCCCAATTTAAACCAGAGTGCTGCCCTCTGCAATGGTACACGTCTTATAATAACACAGCTAGGAGATTGTGTGTTGGAAGCTCAAATAATAACTGGTTCGCATATTGGTGATAAGGTCCTCCTTCCTCGAATTTCCTTGCACGTATCCAGCACTAAATGGCCATTTGTACTTAGCAGACATCAATTCCTAGTGCGACTGTGTTATGCAATGACTATAAATAAGAGTCAGGGACAGACTTTGCATAGTGTTGGCCTATACTTGCCCCGTCCAGTGTTTTCTCATGGATAGCTCTATGTTGCTATATCACGTGTTACATCTAGAGATGGAACTATCCTTCTCAAAGAAAGAGAAGGCAAGGAACATTACTCTATTGTGTTGGGTCCCTGGGCACCTTGAACAACTAAATGATTGCATTTTTTTTCTTAATTTTCCAGTGACGAGTAGGCCTGCATCTGTGTGTTGCACCATCAACCTACCGCCGCGACGCCTCCTGTCTAGACCACACATGTGGTTGCCGTGTGCCCCCATGCTGGTGTCCTAATAACCAGCAATATATGCACATCAAGCAATAAATAGTACCTGTTGCACTTATGCTTCGATATGTGCCCCTGTCTGTGTTAGGTGGTGTTTGGTTGCCCCTCCTAAATTTTATTCGTTGTTCCACCGAATGTTACATGGAGTATTAAAAGTAGACTAATTATGAAACTAATTGCATATTTTGTGACTAATATGTGAGACGAATCTTTTAAGCCTAATTAGTCTATGATTTGACAATGTGGTGCTACAGTAAACATGTGCTAATGACGGATTAATTAGGCTTAAAAATCCGTCTCGTGGAGTACTGACAGATTATGTAATTTGTTTTTTTATTAGTATCCGAATACCCCATGCAACATCCTCCCGACATACCTCCTAAATTTTAGTCACTGAATCCAAACACCACCTTATAGCCTTTTGTGTTCCTTAAAGGAACATGTACTCCGTGCTCCAGACTCTGCTACATCAGTTTATTCAATAAGGTCCTATGTATGTCTACCTGTTCCAGTGTAGCATATGTATTAGGCCATTTCCTGTTGGCTAAGCTGGCATCGTGCCACGTTGCTACTACCATGTAAGATATTGTATTCCAAGATAGTTTGTACGGTCATGTCTATCGTTTTGAATGGATATATTTGACGTTCCGTTGCTATATGGTACCCACGTGCTTCTGGTTGAGATTCGTCTTTCCTTTGGTGTAGGAGCAACTTTTTGCAGTACCCAGTTGGCCAGGTTCCTCCGAAACAACATACCGTCGTCTGGGTATAGATAAACCAAGACATAATGCACCTTGGAGATAGTTTTGTTAGATTAGCTGTAAGCAGTAGATGATGTGAACTTGTACGCAAACTTGATAGAAGTAGAGGAAATTTACATTGGACAGGCACAGTACGCGGCACTTAGCTTGGAACCTAAGGAGTTGGTTGTCTCCAGGAGACACATAAACACTTAATAATCAGATAATTCTTATGTGCGTCCATAGTATCTTGTTCTATCGTTCCTTCTCGGAGAGAATCATGTGCTTTCCGACTCCGTTTCCGAGCATCGGGGCTTTTGTAGAGCGTGGCTGGATTCATCGGCGCGTACGTCCCTGTTCGTCGTCGTTCCTTCTTGCAGAGAATCACGTACTTTCCATCTCCGTTCCCGAGCGTCGAGTCTGCCAGCCTGCCGTTCACCAACATGTCAGCTGTTTGCGTAGTTGCATGCCAGGGTGTGCTCGGTGCATGTGCATCCGTCGGGCTCTTGGAACTCGCCTCTTCAGTGCTAGCTTATGCTCCCGGCCGGGAAAAAAGAAGGGCACCGTGCATGGATGATGGTCGCCAAAAAAACACAGCACAACTCTGGAGCCATGGGTGCATAGGAAGGCTTAAATGCGATGAATGCATGCAGCCGGTGCCTGATGAAAGTAGCGACGACGCATGCATGCATGCAGCTGAAAGGCTGGAACGTGATGAATGCTGGGACGAATTGATGGCGCTTGCATGATAGTACGTGATGCATGCGTGCAACTGAAAGCCTTGAACGTGATGACCTCTGTGGTGATTTACTGCACTGCCGCGTGCGAGCAAGAAGGGCATACTGTACAGTTCAGACGAAAAAAGAATGCATGTAACATCGGCTAGAACCTTGTTTAACGAAGCCCCGACGACATGGATGGTGCGTCATTAGGATTACGTACCCACAATATACATGCCCGGGGGCTCTCCTCATAACAGCTGATGGGTTGTCCTGTACATATAATATACATTACAGATACGGTAGATCGAAGGAAACTAAATATAGTTGGACAGTTTTATACCACTGGATTGCATGTACCCCTTCTCCTCAGAAGGTGTTCATGGCTCAGTAGAATGGTGCGCGTGCCGGTCTCCCTTTGCGTCGGCTCTTAGGCAATGTAGCCTCCTTATTGAGTGAGCATATAGAGATTTTTTTATTTTTAACACTTTTTATAAACTAATTTTAAATCTAACATTGTTTTATTTTTTTCTTCAAAACTAACACTTTTGCCCGCGTCTATTTCCACTACTACATGATCGAATTTGCGCGACGTCGCCCGGGTGGCCTCCGTGGTGGGCATCTTTTTGCCCGCTTCTGGTTAATGCACTCGATTCGATTCTGATGAGGTTTTTTTTTTTTTCGAGAGGCGGGCACTTTTGCCCGCCACGGTAAATCGATTTACCGTGGCGGGCGTCTTAAAACGTCCGCCTCGGAAAATAGCCTATTTCCCGAGGCGGACGTCTTAAGGTGCCCGCTACGGTAAATCGATTTACCGTGGCGGGCATCCTATATGGCCCGCCTCGGAAAAGGCCCAAGCCCAAAATCCCCAGCAAGGCCCGATTTTAACCTTGAACTATATATACGAGGAGTTATGGTTTTCTACCCCACTCTGTCTCTCTCTTCCTCCACCGGTCGGCCCGACCTCCTCTCCTTCCAGCAGGCGATCGAGTCCGAGGCGAGGCGACCTCCCACTCCCACTCCGCGACGAGACCGAGGCAGTCTCCTCTCCACTCCGTCGTCACCACCTCTCCACTCCTCTCCCGATGCGACATCCACCGCGGGCCTTTGGGGACATGGGGAGAGACCGGCTTCGGCTGCTGGGACTTGGCTCCCTTCCTCATTATGTGTGGCGCGCGACATCCACCGGCAGCAGATCTACCGGGTCTCCTCTCTCTCCCTCATGCGGATCTGGCCCCTTCTTCCTCCTTGACCGGATCGGTGGGAGGCAGCCTCCCATCCCCTCCCTAACGACGCCAAGCGGGCGGTTCTAGGTGGAGGCTGCCGGATCCTATAGGAGGCGATCGATCCGACGGATCCGGCCGGATCCGGTGAATGCCGGACGGTGGCGCGCCAAATGGTACATGTCTCTCTTCGTCTCCCTCGCTTCTTCTCTTCGTCTCCCTCACTGTGCCCTCTCCCTTTCCCAGATCTAGAGGCGCTTTGCAGACGTCGGAGCTGCAGTGTGGCGCGCAGACGCGATGCGCTGGCTTTCGGGCGCCCTCCTCCCTTCCGGCCTCATCTTGGCAGCGGCCGCAGAGAGGTGGTCGCAACTAGATCCGAGGGACGACGATGGCGGCGCTAGGGTTTCGGTTTGGGATTGGGCTCACCGGTGGGCT